TATACATTATTTTTGTATTCTCCAAAGTACGCAAAAATATTTTCACAATACAAATAAGCGTCTACATACAGGGGTTATAATAAAGCATTTAGATGTAAAACTCCATTAAAAACTTTAAGGTAGCTAATTAGCACGTGGTCAAATTAGTTGAAGACGGGCTGTGTACATTCTGAGGAACCATTTTAGATTTCCTACCTATCATAAAATTACCTTCTCTTAGGCTAGTGTAAAAGTTTGTCATTCCCTTATTTGAACCAACTCCATTTTAAAAGGTGCTTCTACTGTAAAAGGTCATAAATCAAACTAAAACTTCCTACTGTAAATATTAACAAAAAGCAAGCCATAGAAAGTAAATCTCTACAACATGAATACCATTTAACAAACATGACACTCACAGAGCTCAATTTTCTATGACTTCATAGAAGAAAATATCTGTAATATTCCTTTTCTCCTATAGAACAAACTGACTCAAAATTCTAACAGATAAACGATACTATATTCTGGGCAACTGTACTATATACTGAAACAGTATGCTTGCTTGGGCGGTATGACAATTTATATGAAGGTTTAATGCTCATTATTTTTGCAGACACTTAAACTTGATAAACATGTATACATAAGAAGTCAATCAAATCAGATTCACTTTCTTTGGCATAAAAACACATATGCCACCATTACTTTATGTATTCTCATTCCAAACATACAAAAACTGCACTGAGGCAATTATCAAATTTTTAAATATTTCTTACAGAAAACTTACATTTGCTTTTAAGTACTACATTGTAGTGAGCCATTAATTTCCTAATCTTTCCACACATTACATAATTGGAATGCTACCTTTCAGTGGACTGATACAATATCTGTTGATAGATCATTAGTGCAAAAAAGAGAAGTGAAGCAATCTCTCATGTTCAGAAAACACTGATTAATGACAGTGCTCAGGAGGAGGTCATCCTGGAGAGCTGGAATGCTATACTTGAGGTTACACAAATTCACTCTGTAAGTACTATATTCCAGAACTGACTGTGGCATAATTATTGTGTCACTATTCTGAATTGTACCGAACGAGCAAATTCTGGAAATGCATTCAGGCTAAATCTGGATTAATTATCATTTGCTTAATTCCCTGAAAAGTAGGGAATGACAGGATGGTTAACTAGCATTTTAGAAACTGGTTTCTTTTCTACAGAAAAAGATAGCAACAGTGATTCCCATCAAAACTAAATTCTCACAACTCTGCCAACATTTGCCCCTTATATATTTGGATGCAACTGTCTTTAAAAATCAGACCAACCTGTACGTAAACCTCCTAAACAATATAGTTCTTTTTACAACCAAATAGCTTAATGACTGGAAAGGGAATGGGTAAAAAATGTAGAGGAATTTTTCAGTTCGCAATTAAATTTTGAGATTTAGTGCACTGGCTGCCAAGCTACAATTCATTTAAAATTATTTTTCACAGATCGTATTAAAGACAGGGGCTAAGACAAACATAAATAAGGTATAGAAGAAACACTCTAATTATTAAATGTAAAGGCAAATTATGTACAAAATATCAAAAGAAAGTTGAAAGTTTCAAATTCTGCACTCTGACTCTTAACAATGTAATTTACCAGGTACTGGGTTTGACATATTTAATAATAATAACTACCATTTAAATAAGTATACACTATGAGCCCAAGACATGCCAGGCCCATTAGGTATACATGATGTCATCTGAACCCAGCCACAGTGCTGAAGTTTCATCTGTATTTAGCAAAGGAAGAAACTGAGGTCCAAAATGTAACTACAAGTAAAAAGGACAGAGCCAGAACGTACGTCCACGGAGGTCTAACCTGAAAGTCTGCTCCTCCATCCTCGCTCCTGTCTGAAGATTCCATTATTGGCAAAACCGCCCACTGACTGAAATTTACGCGTGGCCCCAAAGTCAGCACTCACAGGGCTTCTGCAGCCGCTCACAGACACGCAGAGCTGCGAGCAGCCTGGGTGGCCGGCACACGTGCGCTCCCGGCTGAGGCCAACAAGGGGACTCTGCCTCTGCTCTCAGCCTCTCGTGCCGTGCCCAGGCGTCCTTTTTGTGGTCTGTTTCGTGCCAGGTTTAGTTTTTTTAAGCCTTTTGTTGGCGATTCCACTGTCTTAAATGCCCCCCAGAACAGAGCTGAGAAGCGCTGTGGGGATTTAGTGGGTGCGAGAAAGCTGTGGGGTGTCTTACGGAGAAAACACCTGAACTCAAGCCCGAGTCACAGTGCTATCGGACAGGAGTTCAATAACAAGTCAACGTGTGCAGTAAACGTCTTTAAACACAAACCTACATAAGGCACGGCCACTCGTCCACCAGCTGGTGAAAAGGTTGAGACCAGAGGCTCGCAGGAACCTGCTCCTCTTTCCCTTAGGAACAACGGTTCAGCACCCCTAACCCAATGTCCACAGTAGCTTCACAGAACAGGACGAGGCCAAGGAAGGAGAGCTGACCACAACTACGCGACGAGCATTCCCCCACAGGAATGTGTACATGGCTCGGTAGCAAAAGCTTTTCCTGCTGTCATTTCCCTTAGAGACCCACATGATTACAGTTATGCAGTCCTCATTTCTGTTTCAGAAATCCCCTTTATTGCCATTCCGCTTAATGGGTTGTAGCTACATGTGTTTGACTTTGCTTAGAAAATTGATATATCTTAAAAAACAGCTCGGCCTTGCACTGTGAAGCTCTAATATAAATAAATTTCTTATTACTACACATTATCAATATTGTTGAAAGGTGACTGTTTTGTGAGATTATGATTTATAAACTAGTTATACATAATGTAAGCGAAAACAACAAAAATTTAGCATAGGAAACTAGAAAAATATCAGCACAAATTAGAACCCTTACCTTTGTTGTCCAAGTCAGAGATTTTATTGAAGAAAAACACTTACAATACTTCAAAGGTCAAACAAGGACAATTCAGGGTTGAAAGAAACAAAACCTGAAAGAGTCCACTGTCTTCAGTAAAATTTTGAATTAAAAAAAAAAAATCCACAGACCAGGAAAACAGTTTATGGCCTACTGCATTAGTTCCATGCTAAACACATACATATGTAGTATATCTCCACCAAGTGAAACTTAATCACTTTTTACAATTTAGACAGGAAAGGCGGCTTTTAGTACGGTTAAACCATGTATCATCAATACCATGAAGCTCACCTATCAGTTGTAATAGCTTCTATAAAATACCACAGTGAGATTGCAATAAGCCTAGAAAATGGGCTACAAATCCCAGCTATGCTCAAGCAAGCAGTGAACCAAAAATAAAAATAGGTAAAATTGAACCAAGAACTAGATAGCATTCATCTAGATTCATGACTGGTAAGGCAAAGTTCAAAGGCCAAGGTTTTAAAGTGACTTCTTCAGATCCGACAGACAGTCATTACACAAAATAAAAGCATTCACGTAGTTGAGGGAAAAAAAATGTTTTCACTTCAAAAACACAGCAAAACAAGGTGACTTACAGTTTCTAAACACCACATTTTGTTTCTTTAATTATCACTTTAATAAATATGTAAAAGTAAAGAGACTCAAAGTTGGGCTTTTCCATTTTTAATCTCTCCAGTTAGATAAGCCATCTAAAAGGAGATGTCACATATCCCTGCTTCCAGATTGCAATAACTTTAAAAGCAATGTCAACTTTAAGTTTCTATCTTAATCATATTTGTTACCATTAAATGCTGAATTAACAATCCACACAATATAAAAATATACATATTAAATCACACTGACTTCATCAATTCTTGGAATTTAATAAAAATAGTCATCATTTTAATATAACCACAGTAAAAAGGACTCAAATGGCTTCAACTTAGTATAGGTGTCTACCATGGACAGAAATGTTACATCCCCACCCCCCACCCCCACTGGGGAAAATGAGCTTATGCAAGTACGTCTGAGACTCACAGTGACACATGGACCTGCCGTCTAAGATGAGCAAGCAGCTCCCACTTTTAGCAATGACAATATGATTCAGAGTCACACAGTTTGTTAAAATATCAAATTGCACATGATTTCATTAAACTCTACGTCAAAGTGAAAACTCTGATACATTTCCGGTATCTGACAAAACAGATGATTTAAAAGGTAATAATCAACGATTCTGTTAGTAGAGTATTATGTGGCTAGCTCAGATGTAGGATGATTGTTGCAGTACAATGAACACTATACTGTAAAATACAATAGGTTTGCAATACAGAGCAGATTATCCAAGTAGCAAGGAAACTGAACAAAATATAAACTCTAGCAAAGATTATCAACCTTACCTACTACTTATCTTAGCCCTTGCTAAAATACCCTGAGTAAAATGCAGATATTATAAATAACGCTGGTTATAGACAACTTCTCTAAAAATGATGATAAATGTCAACGCATCACATTTTTTATTTACAACAGCCAGATATGTAAAAGTTAATTCTTAACCAGTCACAATATACACATTGAGAAATACTTAGGTTAAATCTGGAAGTTTTTAACCGTCTAGCTTTTGCTAGCATTTTGGCAAAGCAAGTAATACATAAATGGATTCATTATAAAAAATAATCATAAAAGAAAAATATATAAAATTTACAGTAATGTCTATCCACCCTGGGCCAACCTAGATCTCTACAAAACCTCCCCAGTCAGGCTTGCTTCTGACTAATAGGAAGAATATCAGTCCTCCAGCCAAAACAGCCCCATCTCTGCACCAAAGAGGCTCTCACTTCAATGATATCCCTCCGGGGAAGAGGACAGGAGCCAGGGTCCCTCGAGTGTCATTCCCCAGATGTTCAAAACGTAACTAATTTATTAGCATTAGAAGATTTGGCTTATAGGGGAATCTCACTGGTCCAGTTTGTAGCCTACAAAAAAATGGATTATTTTTAAGTATAATATTAGAATATAGATAAAGGATGAGGATGTGGCTTTTTATTCCACAGAAATGGAAACATTTCCAAACATGAGAATTCCATTTGAAAAACAAAAGCATGCCTACCATTGCAGGTGGGGTCCCTCCAGACTTTTTAACATTCTTTGAAGGCATTCCTTGAAGGCGACTGAGTCTAGCTTGGAAACCTGGAATATCAAAGTACTCAATTTAGGAGGTTCTGTGATCACTGGAGCAAAGGAGACTCCATCAAAAGAGAATTAGAAGTACGTGCATGGTGGGGACGAACACCATGAACAGTACCGGAAAAAATGCAAAACTCACACTTGAAAGAACTGCAGGCCTGCTGGCGGATCTCCAGTGCAGCGGCACTGGCCTCTGGTATGTCGACCCCAGGGAGTAATGACAGCACAACTCTCTTCTCCCAGCTCACATGAGCCCAGCAAAAGCACGATACTGCTGACTCAGTGGCCAAGGTTTGAAAGCACGATACTGCTGACTCAGTGGCCACGGTGCTTCTCCACACCCCCCAGTGTTTACGTCCTCTGACCCCACTTAGCCCGTCTTTTCTCCTCCAAAGCTGACCCCAAGCTCAGGCACCCGCCAGCTGGGAAGGGCTACTGACCTCTCCTCCCTGGAGGTGACATGAGGGGGAAGGACCCAGTTAAGATACTTTCAAAGACGGGGTCTGGCAAGTCCTTGTCCAGCTCAGTGAGACCCTCCTTCTCCCACCAGGGCACGACCCCAGCGATGCCGCACGCCCCGCCCGACTCCTTCTCATAGCACCAGTCGCTCTGCTCGTCATCGCCTGAAAAAGACAAAGCGTTTCCCACAGGCTCAGTCTCATCACATACACACATGCGATTCCGGTTGTGAGACAATAAGAATACAAGACCTGCGCTAAATCTGCATTGCAGGTAAGAGATTAACTTTTAACATAAATACACATTTGTCCTAAATTTCTAGTGTAAGCCAGTCCAAATACTGCATGGGACACAGTTGTACTAAAAATCTGCTATTTAGCTACAATTCACATCTAACTGGGGAGCCTCTATTTTACCTGGCAACACATATATAAATATAAGCTGGGCATGGTGGCACA